TGGGCTGTGGCCGCTCCGTGACCCGCAAGGTGAGCGGGTCTCTCCCTGCGAGCCTCGTCCGGCCCCTGCGGGAGCGGCTCTCCCCTTCCTCCCGAGCCCCACGCGGGAGCGGCTCTCCCCTTCCCCCCGAGCCTCACGCGGGGGTCACTCCTGCTTCGCTAGTCCTCGTTCTGTACGTGTATCCCGTGCTGTTATCTATGCACTGCGTGTATGTGACGCTGTATGCGTTTTGCAGGTGCTGCAGGTGGAGGCTCGGGGGCTCTGCACCAAGCCCGTGGGCACGGGCACGGCGCCGCCAAAGAGTAAGGCAGTGGTTTGGTTGTGTGTGGTGTTAGGGGTGGTAATAAAAGCGTGTAGATAAAAGGGTGTATCTAGGTAAATAGGAAGAGGGTGTAGTTGGGAATGGTGTTGCTGGGGAGGTGGTGGATAAGGTGGGAAAACAGGTTGTCAGCGTGTATAAATTATGTGTAAATTGTATGTTATATGCATATTATAAGATATGCATTATGATAAGTTATGTAGTAATAGAAGTAAAGGTCTGGTAGGAATGTGTGTGTGGACAGCAAATCTACATGTGTGGAGTACATATATATGTCTGGGGTATGTTTATATGTGAGAGATATATTTATAGGCTGATAATAGACATTATGAGCTTAACACTTCTTTCCTGTTCACCTGCACCTTAGGCCAGGCTGGATGTCAAACTGTGCAACCTGTACAAGAGGAAATGGCTTCACACTGACAGAGTAGGGTTAGGTTAGATATCAGGAGGAAATTCTTCCCTGTGAGGATGGTGAGACACTGGCACAGGTTGCCCAGAGAAGCTGTGGATTCCCCATCCCTGGGAGTGTTCCAGGCCAGGTTGGGTGGGGCTCTGAGCAACCTGGGCTAGTGGAAGGTGTCCCTGCCCAGGGCAGGGGGTTGGAACTAGAGGTCTTTAAGGTCCCTTCTAACCCAAACCATTCCATGATTCTGTGAACTTGTTAGCTGTTGTGTTACCTGACCAGCCTTAAGAATAAATTTTATTACATTTAATTTAATATAAAGAAGCTTTGCAAGTTGCCTGAAATCAGGTGGAAAAGAGTACAGAAAGTTGCTCTAATGAGGTGCAAAATCTGTTTTTCCACTTTAATGTTCACCCTTGTCCTTTGAAATGTCTGAATTAGGAGGGTTAAAAAGCAGAAGGACATATAGAAAGACTTGCAAGGTTCAAATATCAGCTCCAGACAGCAGCATCAAGAAGCTGCTGTGTTAAATTTATTCTAAGTTATAATGCTTCTTGCCCCAGAGGTTTTCAGTCAGGACAGTGCCTGGGCCTGGGTTTGGATGCTGCACTGCATTCCACATTCAGGAGTGTCTGAACCCCTTTTGTCCCTGACCAAAGTCACAACACAAATACAACTTTCCAAGAAGGATCATGTGCAAAATGCTGTTTGTAAATGGAGGCTCCTGGTTCAGTGAGGATTCCCATCCCAAATTAGAGATCCAGGGCCTTAAACAGGAAAATTCCATGGGATCCTATGTAGGAGCAGTCAGACTTGTTGACTGCTGTTGAAGAGATCACTGCAGGAGTAGCTGGATGCAGACTTCTGGCATCTTAAATGCCAAAGCAAATAAAAGCTTGGCTGTTCCATCAAGAAAGCCTTTGCTGCATAGATTGATATAAGCTTGATGGAACAGCAAATTGCTTCTTATTGTAATTTATTTTTTTGCGCTAAGTGTAGCTGAGATGTACTTTAGTATCAGTTTCTAGATTCACTGCCCTGCAGCTCTGATTTGTGTCAGGAGACCTCTTAGGCTGCTTCTTCCAGCCAGCTGCCTCCCCTGCAAACACCTTAGGCTAATTAAGATGTCTAGGATGCAGCTGCCTTTTCCAGATTCTGCCTGGAACAGGATGTGCAGGTTTTTTTGCTCTGATAAAATGGTCATGTTTACACACAGAGTCGTGGTGGGAAATAGACCTGTATCTTCTGCCTGTCACCTTTGTGAGTGTGAACATGCTTTAAACACATTCTGATGTTCCACGCATCAGGAAGAATGCAGCTGGGAATAATATTCCTGTTACTGATTTGGATGTGTTGTTCCTTTGGCAAAGTGATGCAAACTGGTGCAGAGTTTGAAATACCCTAATTAAAGTGTCTGTATCAGTTGTGTTACATGTCTCAGCTTGTAATCATAAGGTCTATCTTTTTCATATATCCAAACTTAAGTGTTTAAGGTATTTTTCCAGGGACACCTACTGTTAATGGTCAGGTTGAACATCACCTGCCTGCTAGGTTTCTTAGGATGCCTTAACATTAACACTACTCAATTTCTGCTCAGCCTTCCCCTGTCCATCCTCCCTTTGGCCAGTCTTGTGTTAGTTTGACCTTCCTTTATGCTTCCTTGAAGAACTCTTCCATCCTGAGTGATGCTTCCTCACGTGTTAGTTTCTCCAGGCTGCTGTTTGGCTGGGTCAGTCCATGCAGGGAGCCAGACCTCTTCCAAAAGCGGCTGCCCATCCTCCTGCTTCCCCCTGCCCTTCCTTCCTGCCCTGCACCTTCCATCTGCCAGAGAGAAGTATGTGCTTGAAATTATTCCAAATATTACCTGTGAACTTGATGCTCTTTTTCCTTGTTTTTCATTGTAGTAAGAACTCTGTATTTCTTTCTGAAATACTTTTGCTTTTGATTTCATGTGTCTGTCTCTCTCCTGTGATGTTTTCATTTGGCCATTGCTAAAGACTTGCTTCTGTTCAGAACAAGTGATACTAACTCCTTGGATCATCCAAGGTATTGCTTTGGAATACTAGTGAGGGGGAAAACTGTATCATATGGTCATCTAGAGTAGATAGGTGTTTCCAAACTGCAGGTAAATCTGCAGAACAAACTGGAAACCTGTTGGATTATGCTGCTGGTTGGAAGTGGTGCAGCTTATAATGGATAGCTTTGCTATAGCCAATTTCAGCTGTGGTGTATCTTCTTAATGTGCTCCCAGTCCTCATTGTGTTCCTGTTTCCTGCAACCACAACAGTGTTTGCTGTTGCTCAGCCTCTCAAGGATGATATTGGCACAGGCATCCAAGGGGTATTGGGTACTCTCTGAAAGGGCCTGAAAACTGCTGCTTTCTTTTCAACTGTTTGGCTCCTTGTCTGGAGAATTTAGCCTAATGCAAGTATCCACAGGGGAGGAGGAATAGAGACAGGCTAACATGAAGCATCAGAAGATCTTCTCAGATTTATTTTACGAAGAGGTCTCAAACCAAAAATAGGCAGTGAATGCTGGAGGAGATAAGGTCTTGGGGAAATAATGCTAAAGCATGGAGACACAATTCAGTGAGCAGGTCAGGTGGGCAATGAACAAGTAATACTTTCAGGTATGGCCTCTTGCTCCTTTACTTTATCTCTTGGGAGTCATCCCTCCTTCCTGCTTTCAGGATAACTACTGCAAGCAGCTGCTGCTCTTGTCTGTTTGCTGTGTCTCCTGCTTCGCTGCTTGTTCACAGACAGGTGTTGTCTCTGCAGCAGCATATGTTGAAGAGCTCGGCTAACCACCCATCTTAATGCCCATCTGAGATAGGGAGGTGTCTGCAAACCACTTTAAGTGGTGCAGAGTTGAAGCCCAGAGAAAATCAGCTCCTGGAGGAGTCTGGCAAAGAAGAGGCATAAGGATTTATCTTGTGAGTTTCGGCATTGCAGCAGCAAAAACTGTTTAACTGCTACTAGAGCTCCAGTTTCTTTAACTTAATAGTCCTAAAACTTCCTGCTTCACAATGCCTGTATTTAGTATAGTAACTTCTTTCAGTCTGCTCTTTGTATCAGATTATCTCAGGAAGTTAAAATCGCGTGGCTAAGATCACTAAAGTAACAAGTGTCGGATGTGATGATGATAATCCTCTTTATGCCATTTCCTAGATGTAGTGGCACCACAGGGAAGCACCAAGCTGCTTGCCATCAAGGCACCAGTTGCATTTCCTAAAACGTTGTCTTCTAGCTCTCTCCTACTGACCACAAAGAAAGGTGAGAGCAAGTCTAGTACTAACCTCGAGGAAGCCTCAGAACCTTCTGTTGATGACCCAAGGAAGTTCATGTCAAGGAAAACTGTGGTTGCATTTCCTCAGCGAGTAGTTTCTTCTCTTGAAAAGGAAAACCTCACTACACCTGCAACAGGAGGAGGCTTGAGGAAAGAGATAGTTGAGGATCAAACTTCATCTTCATCCAGCTCAGAGTCAGATTCTAGCTCAGATTCTGAGGAAGAAAGTGATGATGTTTCGAAAGTTGCCACTAAAACTAAAGTTAAGTTTCCTAGACGAAATCCCATCTTTTCTGAGGACATAGCAGCAAAGGCATCAATGCTAGCAAAACAGAATTTGTCCCAGAAATCCCACAGAGAACATGGAGCCAAGAAGCCACCACGCAAAACAGAAACTGATGTGTCTCCTGTCAAGCAGGTCAAAGTTTCTAAAACACCAGTCAGCCATGAAACATCAAAATCCCAAGCAAGAGACCCCAAGGTCAAGCCCACTCCAAAAGCAGCAGATCAGCAGGTGCTGGTCTTGGAACCACGTGTGGTGGAAGGCCAAAGCCTGACTGATGGTGCTCGTAAGTCTGACTATCTGGAGGACAAGTCCATTGGAACCCAAGTAGCAGCTATTCAGCTGAAACCTCCAGCAGCAACTCAGGAAGACAAAAAGCAAACAGTGGTATCCAGAGGGGGGAAAAAAAAGGTGAAGGAGGCACAGGAATTGGAAGCAAAAGAAGTAACTCCTAAAGTGGCAGAGACTTCTGGAAGCACAACGTTGGTGGTGGACACTGCAGCAAAGGAGGAGGCCGTGCAGGAAGCAGCAGTCCAGGCTGGAGAAAGCAGCACAACAGAGGGTACAACTTTAAATTGTTTCAACTGTATTGATTCATCTGGGCTAGGGTTTGACTTTTTTAAAGGGTTTCCACATCTCCTCTGAGCTTTAAACTGAAGGTGACAGTGTGGCAGGGACTTTCTGGAAGATGAATTGTTGTTCATTGCTAATTGTTATAAGCTCTCATTAATACCGTTTCCAGCTATGCTGTGAAAGGAAGTGGTTTTATTTCTCTGTATTTATAGTTTCATTATAGTTTTATATTTTTTATAGTTTCATTATAGTCTCAACCAATTACTTACAAAATGAAAACAAGTTTGTTTCCACTGTGAGCAAAATCATGGGGTTTATATTACAAAACTTGTTTTCACACTTTTCTCAGAAGGATTTGGTAGCTGCTTTCTCATGAGCCAAATTTGATGGCGTCTGACTGTTGCTTAAACCCTGCCGTCTTTCTGGTTTTGTTTGGGGGTTTTGGGTTTGTTTTGGTGGGGATTTTTTCAGTCTTGCAGTGTTTCAGATTTCAGTAGACTTCAAGAACATATAATGTCAGAAGCAGGTGTTGATTCTGAGACTGGAGGGTTAAGTGAGTAGTGTGGAAGTAGAGTCAGTTTTTGTAGTGAGTTGGGGGAGAGGCATTGATATGTTTTTGGGGAAGAGCATCATGGAATCATCTGGCTATATTTCTAACTCACCCCTCTTATTTACTACCATCCTGCTAACTTACCTGCTGATCTCATCTGTGTATCTCAGTAGAGCAGATCCTCTCTGTCCTGATCTCTGGTAGTTACCATTCTTGTTTTTCATCTTGGGCAGTATAAATACACCATTCTTAAGACCCTCCTTCTTGGTGCTACTTTGAATTAAAAAACTTGCCTACTTGGAAGGAAAAGCATCCTAATTGTAAAGCTGCTTGGATGTCATCCTTGGAGTCATATCCCTGCAGAAAAGGCCCTGGGGGACCAGGGGAACAGCAAGTTGAGGGTGGGGCAGCAAAGTGCCCTGGCAGCAAAGGCCACCAAGGGTAACTGGGCTGTGTTGGGAGTGTGGTGACCATGCTGAGGGAGCTGCATCTCCTTCCCCAGTGAGGTGCACCTGGAGGACAGTGTTAGTTCCCCAGTACGAAAGAGATGTGGAGCTGCTGGACAGAGTTCAGCAAAGTGCCACTAAAATGCTGAAGGGACTGGAGTGTCTCTTCTGTGTGAGAAAGCTGGGACTGTTCAGCCTGGAAAAGAGAAGGTTCAGAGTATCATCAGTGTATGTAAATACCTGAAAGGAGAGTGCAAAGAAGGCAGACAAGACTCTTGGGTGGTACACAGTGACAAGGCAAGAGCACTGGGTAAAAAGTGAAACACAGGGTTTTGCCTGAGCATCAATGGACACTCTTTTTAACTTTGAGACTGATGGTGCACTGGCACAGGTTGCCCAGAGAGGTGGTGGAGTCTCCATCCTTGGAGACACTTGGAAGCTGTCTGGACATGGTCCTGGGCATCTCTAGCTGACCCTGCTTGGGCACTTGGGGTTGAACCAGATAACCTTCAGAGGTGTCTTCCAACCTCAACCATTCTATGACTTTGTGAAGTGTCTAACCAGGTTGAGTGACAAATAATTGCTTTTGTACATCAGTTTCCAGGAGATGGTGCTGAGGAAAAGACCTGCCTTCTCTTTAAGGGGTTAGTTGGCTCTTAGTAAGATCTGTTTGCTTATTTTCTTCCCTGATGGCAACTGAAATGCTAAAATGCAGCACTGTCCACCAGTGACATTTTCATTTGTTTGTTCCTCCTTGCAATCATCAGCAAAGTTCATCCACAGTACAGCTCTAGACGCTCCAGCATTACATTTTGTTCTTCAACATTGAAAGAAATACAAAGACCCACAAAAATGTGTTCAGTTAACTTCAAGTAAGGGAGGACTTGGTCTTAAAATGTGCTATTCAAGGTGCAGATTATGACACATCAAAGATCTACAAAACAGCCTCCTCCACTCTCCAGACAGATCTTGTTCTCTTTTCCTTCTTTGAGCACAGCTACTGCTTTTCCATGTTTCATGTTCACAGCTAACAACACCATCTGTAATTTGTGCTCCTGTCCTGTCCCTGTGGTCTTTTGTTCATCTGCAAACTCTGTAGCAGGCACAGGGAAGGTCTCAGAGGAATTTTCCCCTTTGCAAACCTGGATGTTAAGGTGATGTCATCCCCTTGCAGAGCAGGTGTGCTCAGCAGTCAGCAAAAACTGCTGACTGTAACTGCTGAGTAAGTAGCAAAGTAGTCGTGTGGTAGCTCGGAAATGTGCCTCTGATTCATCTCAGAACATCCTGTGAAGTGTTTACTCCTTAAGAGATGAAGCAGAGATGAAGTATGGGCAGGATGAACTTGGGAATAAATTCTCCCTTTTGAGAAGCCAAGTACAGTGTTATTTGGGCAGGAAAAGAGACATTCCATCTGCTTTTCTTCCTGAGCATCTGTTTCTTAGTTTGGAACAACTGTCTCTTGCAGGTTGAGCATACACTTGCCTGTTCTTGGGGCTGTTTGCAGCAAAGAGCATCATTTGGCTTTTATCTCTAGTGTCTCCTATGAGCTGTGTCGGTAGGAACTGAGCAGTAGGCACAGGGATATCTCCTGTCACAGCCTGTGTGTGTTTTGCTGAAGCCATGGCTTTACTGCACTGAGGTTTATAAGCCTTGCTAAATGTTACAGGTTCTGCTCTTAATCTGAGAGCTTTGCATTGCAATAAGTATGTCATAAGTAAAGGGAAATCCTGGTGTTCAGTTTCTTAAGTTCTGGTGTTTTTATTGTAGATGGATGTAGTACAAAAAGAGCTTAGACAATCTAACCTGAACCACCACATACAAATTGATATGACAAAGCTTTTCACTAGATTGTGTGTCTTTCCTATTGTTATAACTCTGAGTGTATGAGAATAAATTAATACTGGGAGTAAAGTTTTATTTCTTGCAATTTCCTTGGTTGTAAAACCAGGCTGTAACAGGAGCCTTTTATGTAAATGGTACTGCCTAAATTTGCATAATATTTTAAAAGCATAAGAATTAATGTTGGCTTTAGTGTGAAGTAAGGAGTTCTAAATAACTTTATTGGGTTATTCTTTTATGAAGAAGAGCTGATGCAAAGTTTAGAAGATTATGCAGAAGAAAGGAAATTCACATCAAAGGCTCTTGATATGTGACTGTTCAGTGTAACCATGTCTGAATTGAACTGTGGAGATCTTGCTAATTCCATCACTTCTCCCCATGGAAAAAACACAAACTGTAGAGTAGTTCCAGTAGCTGTATCTCGTGGTCTGACATGATACATCACTTGTACTGCTGCTTTGCCTCTCCTGCCTTGCTAAGAATGTCACCTACTGTTCTGGCTGGAGGGAAAACCAAGGCAACGATGACAAAGCCAGGAAATGCAGACATATGTCTGCAAAAGAGAAATGTTATGTCCTGTCCACCCCCAGTGTCAGGTGGTAGTTTGGGCTTTAAAACCTGTTCTGTTAGATGTACTGATTCCTGCTCCCTTACTGCACATTGATGTGCTGCTTTAGGCCCAGACAAGGTACAGAAGAACTTGGCAAACTTTTGTTGTAGTTGTTGATTTCTTTTGTTGTAGTTGTTGATTTCTTTTTTGTAAATGTTGACTGCATGAGGGATCTGACTCTGTACTTAAGAATACTGTCCTTGTAGTCAGCCATTCCTGTTTGTTTCCACAGAGCCCAGAGCACCTGCTGAGCCTGCCCCAGAGGAGTTTGACAATTCCACCTACAAGAACCTTCAGCATCACGAATATCACACCTATACCTTTGCTGATTACACTGCTGTTCTCTCCAAATTCAGGCAGCCTCAGCCATCCTCTGGAAGACAATCCCCAAGGCACTGAAAGAGCCTCATTTCAAGCTAGCACCCAGGCAGAATGATGAATTGCTCCATTTAGCACTGTTGCTTCATCTGTATTAAAAATCAGATAATAAATAATAAGTGCATGATAGCTTGTGCTTTTGAACAGTTCTTCCCAGCCCTTGGAGTATCTCACTTTCATGAATGAACTGCAAATGAATCCTCACTGAATAAAAATAGCTTTTCTACCTCTCCATATATATTATTTGGTGACAGTGTAAAAACATCCTGACTTTTCAGTGTCTCCAGACTGTAACTCTGACCATTCTTTCAGAACCATGTCAGGGAATCCCTTGGGCATCTGCCTGCTGAGCATGTGCCCTGGTTTTCTTGGGTATTGTCAGCACTGTAATTCTGTTCTCCTTGCACACAAACATGTTTCCAGCTCTGAAGAGGTTATGTTTACTCTGCATTTGGAGTTAAAATCATTGGCTGGAAGCAGCACAAGAAGTATTTGTCTCCTGTGGCAAGAGTGAATGTTTTGTGTTAGTAGAGGAATGCAAAGTTATGTAATGTGATTACAACAGCAAAGGCTTTGAGATATTTCAAAGAGAGAACACACAACTTCATTTAGTCACCTGTTGGGGGTTCCAGCATCATCCAGGCTCTGCAATAACTGAAATAATTTAAAATGGAAGAGAACTTTAGTGGCAGCTGCTAATGAACTATTCTGCACTGATTAAACTCTCAGAAATAATGCATTTCTATGGATAGAAAAACTTGAATGTTATTTTTAAATGTGATGAAAATAGCATTACAGTAAAATTAGCTCCTATGTTTCAGTTCCTGCTTCTTTTTTTCTCAAAGTTCAGATTGCTGTCCAGCCTCACTCCTGCTCTGCAGAAAATGTGAGACATGAGGCACTTCTCAATGTACATTATCAGCAGTTACAGTTGGTCTCAGTAAATTTTGTATTTCCATTCTATTAGTAACAGTCTTCTGCCTTCTGGGAAAATTGCCTTGATGACCACCAGCTGTTGTGGGTTTAGTTCCATTTTGGCTTCTTGTTCATTTTGGAGGTTTTTTTGGAGTTAATTGGTCTTTAAGCAGTTCTCCTTGCCATAGCTCTGGCATTTTCCATCACCTGTCTGTATTCTTTCAAGCAACAGACTAGGCAAGATCAAAGGGAAAACAGAGTCAGCTTTAGGAGTCTATTTGAGTATTGGATGCAAATCCCTGGGTGCAATTAGTCAAACAGTTATTTTATACTCTAACTTGGCAAAAATGTGGTAAGGAGGATCAAGAGGCCTACATCAATCTGCTGTGTAGAATTTTAAGTCAGAAACCCCTGGCAAGCAGTTTTATTGTCCTGTAAAAAACTGAAAAGCGTGTTACTGACTCTGACTGAAACTTAGGACTCAGCTAATGTACAAATCCACGTGCTGAGGAATAAAGAGCAGAAAGTCACTGGGGCACCAGTGGTACCATGTACACAGTACTTGTAAAAGGGAGAGAAATTTGGCTCTCAACATTAAAAACATGAAAGAATCAGAGTCTTCCTTTATTAAGGGCTCAGGAAAGCCACTGAGTTCTGTTATTAGATGAGACTCCACACAGTAACCTGCCCCTGTAACTAAGAGCTGTGCTGGTGCTGCACTGTGTTCTGAACTGTTCTATGGTGATGGAAGGAGGCTGCAAATAAACAGTAAAAGTGAAATGAGTATTTACTCAACCTGCCCACAGGAGCTGTGACTCTTGGCTGTCTGGAGTCAGATTTGCTCACCTAGTGCCCTTTTTATTTCTAAGAAGGGTTGACGTTATGAACGCTGACTGGATTTGCTTAGGAGTGGTTGAAACAAGTGTCTTGATTTCAGTCAACTCCTCCCCCCTTAGAATCACAATGACTGAATCATCAAGGTTGGAAGAGGCCTTTAAGATGATCAAATCCAACTGTCTGCCCACTGTAACCCCTAAACCGTATCACCCGGTGTCAGGTCTAGATGCCTCTTTAAACACCTCCAGGGATGGTGACTCTGCCACCTCCCTGGGCAATATTCCAGTGCCTGAACACCCTAGCAGGGAAATTTTTTTCTTATATCTAATCTGAATCTCCCCTGTCTCAGCTTAAAGCCATTTCCTCTAGTCCTCTCACTATAAGCATGGAGAAGACACCATCCCACACCTCTCTACAATTCACTTTCAGTTGTGTTTCCAAGTAAGGAGATTCTAACCTGGTTCTGGTTTGGCATTTTTCTAGCCTTGTTTCACAATCACAGCAAAAATTCATGATCAATGCCACTTTTGTCTGTGCAATCCTGTCTTGGTGTCTTCTGGTCATCTTTCTGCATCTCTAAAATGAAGTCAAAAACTTCCTACCTCTTGTGGTACATATGGTGCCTGTCTTAGGTTTGTTCTGTTCAGTGAACCTTCTGCTCTGGGAAGTGCAGATAATGCAGGGAAGGCCACCAAGACTTTTTCCCACACTTAAGTTTTCCTGGACTTCAATGAAAAAGGCTTCTTTTCTTTTTTTTTGTCCTTGGCTATTATCAGATGTTGCTGTGCTTGAGTCATATGCTAACATTTAAATTTCAAGCAGGATGTGACACAATATGCTCAAATTCTCTAATGTCTGTGACTTTGTCTTGCTGTGCTAGGCACATGTCAGATACACTCAGGGACCTTGTTTGGAAGAATGGGTAATCCAGGATATTAACATAATTCCTGGAAAACCTCAAATGTGAAGGAAATTAAGTCTCAGCTTAGTTATTGTGAAAACCAGCTCTTCAGACCCAGCATAAACTTCAGAATTGGGGCTTTCAGTGTAAATAGTGTCTTACTGGGGGAGTACATCAAAATCTGGAAACTGAAATTCATTAACCTCTCATTGAAAAGATGAAGCAACTCCTTTCCTTGTCAAAGGGGATGGTTTGTAAACTTTGGGCCTTTGAATTTATTTTTAAGTGTAGCAAACAGCAATAAAATTGCTTGTCATCATTTTCAACAATCATAACACATTCAACAAGCCCTAAAAACCTATCCCATGTCTTTTCTCTCACCACAGAGATATCACCATCTAAGCTGCTTGCCTTGCTTGTCTGTTCCAAGCAGTTTTAATTCCTAGTGGGTCCAATCAATTACTATTGTGCAGTGAGTGAGCAGAAAAGATGCTCAGAGTATCCTGTAGTAGCATTTGTACAAATTGAGGTTGGAAGGGAAGTCCTGAGATGATCAGTTCTCTGCTCTGTAGCAGGTGCAGTTCAATCAGGTTGTGCTGGACATTGTCCAGTTGGGTTTTGAATGTATTCAAGGGTGGAGATACTACAGTGTCTCTGGTCACCTTCTCCAACATTTCAACACCCTCAGGACTTATACAAAAAACCTTTACCTGTTACCTTTGCCTGGCTGTGTCTTTTCTGTACCCTCCATGGAGGCAGTTGAAGGTAGCACTAAGGTGCCCCTTATTCTCCTCTTCCAACCAGATGACCTCTGTTCCTTCAGGCTCATCTTTGCAACAGACTCCAGGCCTGTTGCATCTCTGTGTGGTCACAGTGCACTTTCTGCACATTCTACTCTGCTCTGTAGCAATGCAGGTTGCCTAAGCATTCTGTTTCCTTCTCACAGCTTATGCTTCAAGGTGTAACATGCTAGAAGGGACCTTATGTTCATTTTCCTAATTTTTAGTGTAGTGCTTGAGAGGGAACCTGGGAGACTCCTGCTCCTCCAGTTGCTGCGCAGTGACAGCATTGCAGGGCAGGTTCAGGTCCCCACTGTCCTGCAGTAAAAATAAATAGAAAACCTTGGAATTGTTCTTGGCTCAAGTATTTGCTCTCTGCCTGGGATTTACAGCCCTCCTGTGCTGTTCTGGATCGGGTTTTTTTGCTGCTGTTTGCATACAGAGGTAGACAAAAGGAGCTAACAAGGATTTGTACAGGTCCTTAGCATGTCTGAGTGGTTGATTTCACAGCCAGGATGTTCCTGTCTTGTGGCTTCGTTTGTTTACTTGTTTTAATTTTATCCTTTTAGAGAAACTCCTCAAACTCTGAGTAATATCAATTAAACTTAGGACTACTATTAATTACATGTAGGACTCTAAACAAAATATCCTGTCAAGTTTCCAGATCATCCTTTTCCTCTCATGTGGTTCTAGTTCATGCAATTGTAAATATTTATTATCTTTTCTATGATTCTATGGGTTTGGTGCTCACATATTATCCTTAGTGTTTGGCTGGTACTACTCCTAATATAACCTGCACATATTTTTGACCTCCCCCCTACACACATTCGATTACATTTGAAAATGCATTCCCACCTCTGAAAGACTTGGGATATGTGGCAGCTTTGGGATAAAAAAGACTGTGTTAATGCATAGTTAGAGACTTAAGTTTAAGCACTTGTGTTTCTGATAGTAAAATATCCCAAAAACTTTGGCTCAGTGTATGGAGTCAGTGGTTTAGCTCTCAAAATTTATTTTGGTCTCTCCTTTGCTCTCAACAAACTTTTAACTGCAGAATAGATTAACAGCAATAAGGTTCTGTAATTCTGCAGCATCACAGAATACAGCTTGTGTGCATGTTCACTTCTAATGCCCACAGAACCTGTGCCTATAAAATAAATGCCTAAAATTAAATTTGATTAATTAGTACATAAAATTAAAGCAATTAATGCCTAAAATTTTTAGCAGCAGTTGTCTTTGTTTCTCCAGTCTGAAATGTGGTTAAATGGCAGTGCCTTTTTCCATGTAGAGAGTTCCTTAAGCAGCTAATACCCAGGAATGCAGAAAATGAGCTAATTAAGGTTATTTATGTTTTCTTTTTTTCGTGTTGGTTGAGTTTTTGATTCATTTTCTGTTTCTGTCTCACCTCTCTCCATGGTTATGAGGTGCTCTCGGTTTGGCTGTTTAGGCAATGGATGTAGATTTGGTTTTTAATATCTGGGACAGCTTCTCTCTAGCACAGGGGAGGAAACGTGCAAGCCATAACACACCTTGAACTAGGCAAGTGCTCATGTCCTGCCCCAAATACGGGAGCAAGAGTTACTCTTCCC